CAGCCCATTCCCCCTGAATCCCCACGGGAGCCCCCCCCCCCACCAGCCCCGGCCCACTTGAAGCTGTCTTTGGCGAACCCCGGCCCCGCGATGACGAGGCACTTGACGACCTCCCAGTCCACGTGGCGCACCACCGCCTCGAACACCGTGTTCTGGAACTTGTCCCAAGCCTTGTCATAGCCCGCGGCGGCGGCGCCCCGCTTTCTGGGTGCGAGTGGTGTGAGTGTTTGCGTGTGTGTGTGTGTGTGTCTGTGTGTGTGTACGTGTGTGTGTGGGGGGGGGGTGACGCTGAGACAGAGCGGCGTTCTTGTAACCGGCCGTAATTGCCGCCGTCATGCTGTGCCGAGGGGATGGATTAAAGTTTTCTTTGCAATGCTGCTTCCATATCTGCCTTGCAGGATACCCTTCTGCACTGCACCCAGGCTGTTGGCGTACACGGGGTGGCTTTGGCCAATCGTTGGCGCGCACGCCCTTGAGCGCCGGGGCGCCGCAAGGCCCTCCGTCCAAGCAATGCGCTCGGCGCCGCGCGAGGCGCCGAAGACGCCAGGGCTGCCCCCTCTCTGCGTGGACACGCACTGTGAACACGGGCCGCATAAGAACACCCGGGTCTTGCATTGCCAACCCCCATGCCCCCCAGCGCCCCACCTGGGCAGGTTTGTCTCGATCTTGGCGCGCACAAGGGTGGTGGCGGACCCCACCAGGCACACTTGTGCCAGGCCCTCCTGGAGCGGTGGGAGGAGATGTGGCGCGGGTTGAAGGGGCATGTGAGTTTGTGGTGGGAGTGGAGTGCGCGCGCGATGATGATGATTTCACAAAGGCAGGGGTGCGGGGATGAGGGTTCGGGGGAGTTCAAAGAACAAGGCCGCCCGCCGACACGACCGCCGCGCGCAATCAGGGGCCGGCCCCGGCCCCGGCCCCATGCAGCAAAGGTGGCGTTGTGCTGCAGCAGGCAGCCCTCACTCGGCATCGGCTGCAGGGGCTGCTCCCAAAGGCTCTGGTGGGCCACCGCCCTAAGGTCCTCTCTGATGCCCCCGCCTCTCCCTGCTCCTCAGTGCTGCGCCCGCTCCACCGCCCCCTCCCTGCCCCCCCTTCCCCCAACTCCCGCAAAACCAAGGCTTCATCCCCCCCTGGGCGGACCCACCGTGATGAGGACCGCCGCCAGGTCAGCAGACAGCTTGGGGTCGCACGCCTGGCGGGGCGCCACGAGGCGGCGGGTCGCGGCGGTGAGGGCGGCGGGTGTTCAGACGCTCACGATGCAACCCTTGGCAGCTCGTTTGCGTCTGTCAATCAATCTCATACTGCGCCTCAACGCTTGGATGCACAGAGCCGGGCGCAGATTTGAGGGCACCCGCTTAACATTCCCAGCCGCACACTGTCACGCCTGCTGCACACCTCATGACCCAGGGGGCTTGGGTCCTTCTGAAACCAGCCTGCCCTCTTTCCTGGCCCGTCTGTTCTGTTCGCTCCACGCCCACCCCTGCTCCCCCACTCCACAAAACCGCACCCGCCTGGCTCACGCGCTCAGCATACGTGTGGTGGACAACCCGAGGCACACATTTTCCACCCCCAACAAACCGTGTCAATTTGCCTGAGTGCTCCGCAACCCCCCGCCACAATCTCTTGCCCCCCAAAACACCAACCGACCGCCCCCACCTGCCTCACGCGCTCCACGTCGAGCGCGTCCCAGGCGTCCTTGCGCACCGTGAACGCGCGCTGCTGCTCCAGCTCCAGGGTGTGGTACGACCCCAGCTTCACCCACTCGCTCTCGGTGAGGTTCTTGCCCTTCAGACGGATGACGCCGCCTTAGGGTGGCGCGGTGGGTGGGTGGACGCGTCGCAGCGGGAGCATCGGGCCGGATCGGCTCGCATGAGAGTGGAGTGCCAGGGGGGGATGGGGGTGCGCCATAGTGCGCCCCACACTCTATATGGTGCATGAGGCGCGACAACCAACCGCGGGTGAGGGGGGGAGGGGTGAGGGGGTGAGGGGAAAGATTTGTGGTAGGAGGGTGTGGTGTTTGGGTGATGGCAGAAAGGCAGCGGATGAGGGTCGGTGTGATGGAGCGCTGCATGGTGGGACCCCGCTTGCATCCAACCCCACACGTCTCCGCCGCCGTGCGTGCGCAGCAAGAATCAGACGTGCACTCGGATACGGGATCACTGTGTCGACCATCCCATGCACAACAAACGACATGCAGAGTGTGTGTGTGTGTGTGTGTGTGCGTGTGTGCGCGCATGCACACAGGTGTGCGCGTGCGCGTGCACACAGGCGCGACGTGCGCGCGCGCGCGCACACACACACACACACACACACACACGCACGCACGCTTGCTCGCTCCTGCACACTCACGCATGTAGGCAGCATCGTGCACCCTCCCGAGCCCTCGCGCCTCACCCTCGGGGTCAAACTCCACGCCCTCCACCAGGATGGTCAGCTTCAGCTTGATGCGCTCACTGTCAGCACCCATGCCGCTGTCCTTGGCCACCTTCAAGGGTGTGTACGCACCGTGCGTGGCATGGCGTGCGTGTGTGCATGTCTGTACTGTGCGTGCGCATGTGAAGCACAGTACAGACCCCCCCAGTGTGAGAGCGTCCGGATACGACCGTCCCGCCCATCTGCCCAACCGGGCCGCATCTGCGGTGTGGCCGGGCCTGGCCATCAAGCCGGACGCGGGTCTCTCCCTCCGCCTCACGCCGGGCAACGCGTGTTGCTGGGCGCGCGGGGACAGTGGGCCCACCTTTCTGAACGTCGTCGCTGTGACGTGGTCGCCCTCCCTGATCAGGTTATAGGCGTGCCACATGTCCTCAGCTGGGGCAGGGGAGGCAGGGCGCAGGGGGGGCGAGGGGCGGAAAACGCCAGGGGGTGGGTGGGAGCAAAGGGGGGGGGGGCGACGCGGTCATGCGTGCCGGCTGGTCGCCGCCCAGCGGGCGCCATGTCCCGGCCACGCGCAGGAGGCGGCAAGCAGATGTTGCGGCTGTGGAGGGGCGCATCTATGAGCCTGAGTGGCGATTTGCTTTGGGTACTGCCAGCCGCCAGAGAGCAGGTGCATCAACCCCACCTGCGCCCGCCTACGTACTCAGCCATCACACCACAGCCATACACGTGCGGCCGCACATTCCATGGCTCACCCTCCTCCGCAACCAGTTTGATTTCGCCCTCCCCATTCTTGATGTAGCTCTGATAGAGAAGCTTCATGGCCCTGGCGCACAGCTGCCACTGGGCGTGCGTTCAAAAGCACGGTCGTGCTGCAGCTGGTGCTGCTGCTGCCGCCGCAACTGCCACGGACCGCTTGCTACTTATGTGTCGGGCAAACACTGTAACGGCTTTGAGCCGGCTCGCCGCCAGCGCCGGCCCCGGGCGTACCAACGCCGCCCCAAGCAGGCCGCCTCGCCCGAGGCGAATCTCCGGCGGCTCTCCCCTGTGGGGCCGCCGGCTGCCCTACTGCGCCGCGGCGGGCGGCATCAGGCCTATGACGATCCAGTAGATGCAGGAGGCGAAGAACAGCGCCGCGACGACTGCGGTCGCCACTACTGTGCGCAAGCGCGGCGCTGCGGCTGAAGCGTCCGCCTGGCGACGCACTTCGCTCTTGGTTGGCGCGTGCTTGTGCTGCTGGCTGTTGTACCGCTCGTGCCCAACTGCGCGCTGGCGCACGCCCTGGGCAACCGTCTGCTTTGTTCCAACTTTATTGTGGTGAGCGCCGTCGAGGCTCCGCCTTGCAGCGAGGCTGGGATCTGGAAAATGCAGCCCGGCAATGGAGTTGTGGCAAGCGAGTTGATATACGGTGAGTATATTGCTAGATCATCTTACAGCCAGCACCCAGCCCTCTCGGAACGTTGCTGAGTGCTCCGACAGTCGTGTAGATCTCGTGAGGTGCCCACCTCTCGCCATCAGCGTGCTGGTAGCCTGGTAAACGTAGCAAATCACGTTGCAGATGTCTCTGAGGTTGGAGGTCGTGTGTTTCGCTTTCCGGCATCAGCGCTGCCTTTGAGTTGTCGAAGGCTGGTGGCGGGTGCCACGTCATCACTGTGCGCCAGTGCCCCATGGCACTGTCCCACAGCTTGGCACACTCCACCAACAGGAAGGCAACACGTTTGACAGCTGCCCGTCACTGGCCTGGCTTTACCAGAGGATTTCCTGGTTGCACCCGTCAAGCATCCTCCTTGTGCGATGTCGAAATTGAGTAGAGTAGAGTAGAGTGGACCGGGCGCTGGGCACCCAGTATGAG